GAAGAAGATGGTAAATGATATTAAAAACAGTACACAATTTTTGTTTTAAGGAATTTATTTCACAATCAAATTATCTTTTTATTTGGCAGTAGTTATCTGAATAGAATGGGGCTATACACTGTTTTTGTGTACTCATATAAATTATCATATGTTCTGCTGCAAAATAGTAACATATTTGATTATGTTGTGTTTTTCTGAACTCCTCTGGGATGTTACAGAATCTACAGTTTATAGCATTTAAATTTATAGAAATCCACGGGCTGGGTGGTGGTGGCACATGTCTTTAATCCCAGCATTCAGGAAGCAGAGCCAGGTGGTGAATCTCCAAGTTCAAGACTAGCCTGGTCTACAGAGTGAGTCCCATGACAGGCAAGGCTAAACAAAAAACCCTGTTTTGAAAAAAATATAGAAATTGCCCAGAGCACACTCGACCTTGCCTGGAGTTGGATTGCTTCACACTACCTTTAAAACTCTAATGTCTCTGAGGCTATGTCCCTGTTCCCGATCCAAGCTTTTATGCTGCCATCTTGATTAACGGTTTAGGCAACACAAACAACTCCAAGAGCCTTTCATGACGTCAGTGGAAGAAATAAATGTGCCTCATGAAAACACTGAAAGTCAATATTATCACTTTAATGGGCAATGAATGACGCTTTGTTTCCGAAAGAACATCTCAGTCTTTCAAAAAGCATCTTTCTGTTTTAGTCACTGGACATTGGGCAACTGAAGATCAGAATGAAGTTACTGTCTTAGCCTTGCAATGGTAACCTCTTCTTGCTCATAAACGTGTGCGTGTATACATACGCATATATCATATATATTTACGTTATTTGGCTGACACACATCTTGGCCAGTGTAGAATTTCTCTCACGTCGTGGGCAGCGACGACAGATAAGTATTGAGGAAAAGTAATTGGGAGGTGTTATTCTGGCTCAGCTCCAGCAATAAATCCACCATTAACTAATTACTCTTTGGAAATGGGACACTCCCCAGCTATCTATTTCTTATGGACTTTACCTTTTGGCCATCTGGATCAGATGTAGATCTCAACTAGAGATCTCATGGTAAGTGAATAAGACAGGTCTTAAAATATAGACTAGAGATGGTGAAACTGCCCCAAATCCTAGGGTGGGCTATTTCAGACTTGGCTAAGACGACAAAGTAAAACACAAACCCAAATGCCCACCCCGTCCTCTCACGATAAACGGAAGAGACTCAAAACCATCCCTCTGAAAACGCTTCTCTTTCCAAGTGCACTTAGAATTAGTGACTCAAACGC